TGAAAAAGTGTGTATATGATATATATTTTTATATTATTATAAATATTTTTACATCAAAATTAAAATTTGTGGGATTAGTTAAATTTGGCATATTAGGACTCTTATAAGATAAATTAATTTTTTATGTTCAATATTTTTTATATCAGAGAACAAACAGCAGAAGTACTAGTTGCACGGTACGACCCGGATTTTATATTTTCAGGCCCAGTCTGTATTACTAACAAAAAATTTGACCTGGCTTGGCCAGATTTATAAAAAAAATTTTTACGGTGGTTAAAAAAATTAAGGCACGGGTTTAAAAAAAATTTTCGGCTAGGCTTTTTAAAAATATATCAATTTGGCATTTTATGATTCGTTTTTCAGGAGATCTGCAAATACAATAAATTTCGTTAGCCCGCCCACGACCTGGGGTTAAATTTTTTCAGATATAGGCCTTACCCAGCCTGCGACCCGATCTTAAAAAAACTTAAAGGGAAAAGATCTCAAATTCAAAAAATGTAAACTCTTTATTTTTTTAATTTTGTGTATTCAGCAATAACTTTGACAATTAAATGAAGTTAGGGAGACCAGTACACATTGGTTACGTTAGTCGATTCCAATTCGTCATAAAAGGGGTATAGTCATACATCATAAGCTTAGCAAAGATTTGGTATCCATTTTTTCTGAAGGATAAAAACTCAGTGAAATTTATGTGCTTTCTATTGCTGTGCTGGACGTCTGAATATATAAATTATCTAGAATTTCTCTAAATCTTTATATATACAATTTAACAATTTTTAAAGATATATTTTTTAATAACATATAATTTTTTAATTATGAAATGGGTCAACTAATATATAAGTAGGGGAGAGGGGCTAGTCGAACAGGTTTTTGTAAAATCGGCCATAACTCTTGTTTTTTTTTAGATATTATAAAGAACAATAGCAATTGATACCTATAACTACACTCTAAAGTGCTTTATAAAAATTTTAAAGAATATAATCATAATTTTGAAATTTTATTTTTTGTTAAAGTTGAAATTTTGCCCAACAAGCCCCAATAGCGGGGTTAGGCGAAATATTGAATGGACTTTCTAAACCATTAATTTTTTAGGCTATAATGGATTGAAGTGATTTTTATTTATTAATAATGATATGTTTAGAATAATTTTATTATTTTATTGTTCAAAATATCATAATACGCGAATTATATATATAAAAATTAAAACTTAATTTTGGTTAATTTGATAAACATTATTTTGGATATATAAAAAATAAGAATCTTAAGGAGAGATTATGATTTATTAACGCATATTAACTGTCATAATTGGCATGTATGGTTTAGCAAGCCCCGCTAGCTCTAAATTGACTAATCTTGATTGAAATCTAAAAAAATAAATATACTCATATAACTTACTCAAATTATAAAAGAGGGTAAAACTTTGCTTTAAAATTTAATTTATATTATAAATGATTATAGAACTTAATAAAAATAAAAATTCTGTCATGTAAAAATTTTTTGAATTTTACATCAAAATTTTATTTCTTATATAAAATTTTTAATAAAATTATTTAAAAATTTTTTGCCTATACATGCATACTAATAAAAGCTATATTAGGTTAGAATTTAAACCTTCTAGTCTATTTAATTTTAAAATGAGATTAAGAGGTTTGCCAAGCCCCGGAGTTTACCTAACTCCAGTCTCCCTTATTAATTACACACAGGCAGAAGTTTTCTAAATTGGTGACATTGTAAGTGAATATGATTGCCTGATCTCTGCAAGTCGGTCCAAAACCTGGGTCAAGTTAAAGCCCAAAATTTTTATAATATTTTGGGTCAGGCTTAGCTTAAATAAAAAAAATTAGGCTTGGCTTGGGCTTGAAAAATATTTTAAAAAAATATACAAGACATAGAAAATGATGTTTTCACTTTTTTTATCAAAATAAATTTATACTTGATTAGATTAGAACAATTAGTGATTTTTACTTTAAATTTGATAAATATACGTTTAATTTATTTTTTCTAATTAAAAACTTCGGCCTAAAATAAAATATGGCGAACTAGGGCCCAAGAATAAATAAATAATATTGAATTTACAGAATTAGGGTTGTCACCTTTAAAAATAAAAATGAAGACCAGTATATTAACCCCTCAAATAATTTATTTATACCCTATTTCTGTATAACCTAGTAAGTTTTTTTAATAACGGTCTGGTTAATCTGTTTTCATTCTTCTCATACTTACTGTAATTTTGAAAAATCTTACCTAAATATAAATAATAAAATTATTGTACAATAAATATATTTAATTATAAAATTTCCAAAAAATGTAACTCCAAAAGACTAACTTGAGTTATTTCAGCCTTTTTATAAACTTATAAGAATCTCATAATTATGATTGAACGAATTTAGGATTACATTATATAAAGATATATCTAAAAAAGAAAAAAAAAGATTTACCGAGAATAGACAATATTATACATTATTTTTAGCCTGACTACTTTTTAGTTTGGCGGACAAATACTTCCTTAATCATTTTTGGGGGCCTCTTTATCAAATTGCCTATTTCGTTTTGATAAATCATAAAAAAATATGAGGTATTTAAATCAAGGTAGATGTAATAAATATTCGAAAAATTAGTGCCGTTTCTAGGGAATGGCTATTGAAGGCTGGAGCTCTCAGAATTCTTAGAGAGTCCCTAAAATATTCGAAAATACAAATTTTGAAGATAAAATTTAAAAATAGAGGACTATATATTTTTTTTTATTGAACCAGATAAAAATTCTACTGGCACCCTTACAAAAGATCCTTATCATTTCCCTAAATTTTTTTAAAAATGAATTGTATTTTCCTTCCTTTAAAAAAAAGTTGAAAAAGAAGTGAAACTGAAATGTTAAAAAATATTAATGATAAATCTATCAAAATACATACCTTTCAATTTTTATCCATATATATTATATATATAATAAATAAATTAAAGAAATTATTTAAAATGTATTTCAAATTGGAACAATAAAATATTTTCTTAAGAGTATTTTCAGAAATTTACAATTTATGAGTGGCGATTTGTCCACTATTTAACCTTCCCTCAAATAAGAATTATTATACATATTTGTTGTAGAAAATTTAAACAAAATAATATTTATTAATAAATATTAATCTAAGCCTAACCATCTTATAAGACTAATCTTATAAAACACTAGGCCTTTACAAACAAACCTAGTTGGTATAAATCTTATAGTTAAGGCATCTGCAAATTTTTATAATTTTTCCATATTTTTTTAAAATTTTATAAAGCAGAGAAAGACCGAGAATAGCGTTATCGGGTGGTAGGTATTTTTTAAAATAATTTTACAACTAATATAACTTGAGATTTGAGATTTAAAACAAGAATTTAATTCAATAAAGATACTTAAATCGCTTTTAAAATGGTATGCAATTGTTCATGAAAATTTATATTAACACAACAAAAGTAACTTTTGAATTTTTTACTTTTTGTCAATAAATTTTTTTATGCGCTCAGACTTAATATAAATTTTAGATGATGAACTAAACTCAATTGTATTATGTATAATAAAAACATTGACAATATTTTGCTAATTTAATATCCTAAAACTGGAGGAGGTTTTGACTGGGTGCAATTTATCATTTTTTGAGCATTCAATAATATTCAACTTCAATTAGAAGAACACCAAAAGCCACTAGTTTATTCAGAGACACTAATGATAATATGGAAGTTGACTTCCTTTTTGTTTATATAACAGTTTTGTGGCAACAAGTTTTGTGATAATATATAATATTGAACCTGGTACATTTAACACATTAGACAATGCTTTTACATTTATTTATATAGGGTTAAAATTTTTTTATAAAAGAATTAATAAAATCTAAAATAAAGAGACGACAACACGCACCGCGAAAGACTAAAGAGGGTATCCCGGGCATTTTTCATAATTCTTAAATTTTTATTTAAAAAAAATGATATATACGATTTTTCTTAAATGTTAACTTCTACCTTACTAAATCTATTTTTTGCTAGTCCTTGAATTTTTTATGGATAAACCACGCCCCTCCCCTCAATATTAAATAAATCATTGACATAAATGTCCTAGGCAGAAGACCTCGAGGAAAATACCTGGACAAAAAGACATCGGACAAAAATACCCCAATTTTCGAAAATATTTTAAAAGCTTAAAAAAGTGTTGTAATGGAGGATAGTTATGTAGTATAGATATTAAAAAATTAATTATTAAAAATGTCAATCATATTGAATTTATATATTTTTTAAATTTTTTTCAAGAGGTTTCACCTCCATTCTATTAATTTGATGTTCTAAGTAGATAACTTCACCCCAAAAACACTTTTCTCTTTACTGGCTCTTAGATCTTTATCACGAATTCTTTTGTCCAAACGTTGATTATGTTGTTCCGGTGTTACACCAGTAACCAACACATCATCCATATAATAAAAAACTCTTTCAAGACCTTGGAAAACTGATGCCATAGTACGCTGAAATATCGGCGCTGACACACTTAATCCAAATAGTAACCTACAAAAGTCAAATAAACCTTTAGGAGTCATTATAGTATTTTGAATTTCTTCTTTCAAAAGTAATTGTAAGTAAGCAGAAGAAAAATCAACTTTGGAAAAATATTTGGCACCTTTTAAATTGGCCAAAATTTCTTCAATCCTAGGCAATGGATATTTCACTTCAAAGAGCAAAAATTTTAAATTACCCTTTTTAGAGAATTTAATTTTTTTTTCCAAAATCGGGGTATTATTACTTAGTCTTTGTCCGAGGGCATTTTCCTCCATTGTCTTTTTGCCAGGACATTTATGTAAGTGGTTCATATTAAATATACTCCAACAAAAATGCAAGTCACCTTAATTGCTTTATACAGTAATAAATATCCCTTTTCTCAAAAGGCATTATTTTCTTACACATAGGTATAGATAGTTATCTAATAATAATTTATTCGACTAAAATGTTCGTTGTATATTTTACGGGATACAAATTTTTACTTTTTAGAGATCTTTAGTATTTTTAAGAGTTTGTAAAGATTGGAATATTCTGTTTGCCCTGTTGTTTTTTTTCTTCCAATTGACCATGCTAAAGTAATTTCGATAGTAAATAAACTTAATGTCATTTGCACTTGGAATATAGTTAACTTTAGCTTAAGCTCTCAATTATTGTGCAAAAATAACGAATCTAAATATTTGATTTTCTTCTTTTACACTTAGTTAAGGATTTTTGTTGTATGAGATCTTAAATGCAAAGACACTTAAATGAATAAATGACTCGTTATGAAATGTAATGTAAACTTTCCTTATATACCAAATGAAATCATGTACCAATGTTTTGTGTTGGTGAGAATAGTATGTAAATATAAGTTTTGCTATTCAAAACTGAAAAATGGTAACATTTTTATTCCCAAAATTTTTATTTTACTTCGAGATCTGTTGTATCCCCAAAAGGGTTCCTTTAAATACGTCATTGGTTGTCCAATCGGTTTTGATGATTATAAACTTAGGAAATTATAAATGTAAAGTATATCCCTAATCTAAATTAAATTAATTATGATTAATCGGATAAATGAAAAAGTATAATGCATAGCCATGTGTTTTAGATGTTAAGTTAAGACATTTATATTTATCTTTTATATCATATCATGTCATCATTATAAATTTTAATTTGACTCATAATGGTTATAAAATATTAAATTTTAATTAATTTATCTAATTAATAGAATTTAATTTTTGTTATACGTAATTTTCTAAGTATACATTTAATCACCATAAAGAAATTATGATTTTTTTTATTATTTTAAAGTTAATAATGGAAAACGAACGTCGTTACTCGTTATTATTTAAATTGTAATGTCTAATTTATATATAGTTGATCTCACACGACACCAAACAACCACCATCCCATAATTATGCAATAAATTATACATTTTTTTAAAAAACATATTGCTATTTTACGGTTTTTTCAAAAAAAATCAACTTCAAATTGAAAATGAATTATTTAAAGCCGCATTCTTTCAAAATTTAAACTAGATAAAGAAAAAAATCTTTAAAATATAAGTTATCTTCCAAAAACAAAATTAAAAAAACTACAAAAATAACATTTATTACATAAAAATATTAACAATTATACTTTAGCAAAAATAAATTTAACCAAATTACAACATCTGTTTTGATTAGAAATTTAAAAAAAAATATATATATTCAAAATGCAACAAATAAATTTTATGATTTTTTTTATACGCAAACTTTCTCGTGCAATACAAATTTATGCAGGCATTGTCTTATTACTTGTTAAATCTTAGTTGGAGGTGATAGATAGATGCACTCAATTACACTTATAATATAATTTTAAAAAATTATTTTATTGCTTTGATAAACTATGCCCTTTGTTTTATTGGTTAAATAGTTTTTATTATTACGTTTTCTTGCTTGGTTGTTCATTTGCAGAATCACTTTAATGGTAACTCGTTCTCTCAATAGTATAATTAGCTTAATCATTGCAATTCAATACAGTTAACTAATATAAACATTTTAAGATGTTATGCAAAAAAATTCACTTTAGTTAAATAACAAGAAACAGTTGTAGAGATGTAATACAATATAAGTTTTTTTTTATATAAAACTAATTATTTTCACAAAATATATAATCATAGTATTTTGTTACAATATTTTTTTAAAAATATTATTTTAGAAATGGTAGGATTTTGTTTGATTCTAAAGTTGCCAAAACATTATATAAACGTTTGATGTTTTCTCTTTTTATAAAATGTTTTATATGTTACACACAAGTGTTTTTAAACAAATTTTTTTTGCAAATCAAACATCTTAAAACATACAAATATTTGTTAAATTATTTCATCAACCAATTTATATTATATAGATTTGTAAATTCTAAGAATTAGAAATTTTAAATGCATTTGAGATGAAAAGATAAATAAAAGAGATATACCTCACACGTTTAAATACTATAATTATATTTTTGATATAATTTTTTTCTCTCATCATAATCATAATCTGGTTCGTATATAAATATGGGGATTGAATGAAATTTTAGAGGGTTGTTTTTAGGGGCAGAAGTGGATTGGTTATAAAGCTGATGTACAAAGCCAGAAAGACAAAATTTTTAAAATATACATATATACTTTTTGGGCCTCATTATATTCTAATTCCAAGAGGATATTGTCAACTCTTTTCAATACTTTATTTTTATTTTCTGAAAAGGAACATATTTTATATAAAACGTTCAAAACATTAGTTAACTATTTACTCTATATTAACAAATGAAGTCATCAGGAAGGGGCGAGATTGTTATTATAGATCTATAATTGTTTCAACCCAATGCTTCTTCTTTCTTTTTTATTTCAGAAATTTATTCATATTCTATTTCCATATTTTATCCAGTATAAGCACCTAGTTAAATAGCACCAGCGTAACTGGTGGTTAAAATTGGTAATATCTTTATTATGTTATTGAACAAAATATTACAATTTTGATACTAATTTATTATTTTAATTATAACAATAAGGTCATGTAAAGAAATGTATAAGTTTAACACATTTGGAATGCATCCATTTTAAGCCTCTTTTACATTTTATTCTTCACCTTTTGCAAATTTTTTAAAATTTTAATTGTCAATAAACGGAATTTTTTAAATGTTCCTTTTTGCTCAATAATTTATTTTTTAGAAATTTTGTTTTTACAGCTTTAATCCTTTGAATATTTTGGCTGTTTTGCTCATAACTTTTTACTCCAGGGTGATATATATTGTATGAAATGTCATATTTGACTTGTCATTAAGCAATAACTTTTATTTTATAGATAAGACCTTTGTTGGGAAGGCCTGGATTATGTGGGGTAAAGGGGCAAACGGCTATAACTTTTCATCTTTAATGCATCGTTTCAAATTTTGTCAAAAGATATATCTCTAAACATACTATTTATTATATGTCCATTTAGCATAGGAGCTCCTTATTTAAAAAATGTTGAACAAAAACAATTTTTTAGCTCTTTGTTAACAACAATGAAATTTATGTGATATCCTAATGTCTAGTCTACAAATTAAATTTGGTCCGAAATTTTTATCTTATCTAGAAAGATTTCTATAACCATTTCCGCTAGCTCACTACCACCGGAGCTAAACGCCAGGGGGTAAAATAGCAAATAAGAGAAAATTGAATTGAACTGGAAAAAATTATTAAAATCTAAAAACGATAAAAATAAATAATAATAAAAAAAATTGGAACTATGTAATGTGCGGCAACAGTTATAACCATAAAAACAAAGCTGGCACTCAAGTTGTGCTGGTAATGATCCATTTTAAGATTGCCATGAATATTTATTTTAATTGAAAATTTTATGTTTTATGTGTTGAATTTTATATGTGCCATCTTACTCCCAGGTCATAGGGGTCGAAGTCTCTACTCATCCATGACCCTAAATGATGCTCACCGTATAAAAGGTTGATAGCCCTGTTTTTTATTTATTTTGTAGTCTAATGATGTACCCGTCGAATGATACAATTAGTTCTCACATAAAATTTTATCGTAAAAAGGCAAAAACAACCCGTATAGCCCCAGTCTCTTCTAAATATAAAAGATGAAATGAGAAATGAGAAAGGATATATTTAAAAATTACACCTTCACAAAGGATTTAAGGGTATTATTCCCTAAAGAAAAAATAATTATTCACGGTATTATTGTTAACCAGTTTTTTCCGCGGTATGCAATGTAAATGTTTAATTTCGCGGTTTAAATTTAAATAACATGTTAGGCATATTAATTTAAATTTACAATATTAAAGTTGGAATATTATATGATATGAGGAATTAATCATAATTAGAATTTTAACAAACTCTTTCGAAATAATTTTCTAAAAAAGGAATTATAAATGGTAAAATTATCTAGAGTTTAGAAATCAATCTTGAATAAGAACAATTGAACTGCACTGCCTTAAAATAATATATAAACTTATCAATATAATGTGAATGTGAAGTTATCGAAATATCTCAATAAATGAATTTCCATATGATTATATTTAAATTTATAAAAAATAAATAAATAAGTGTCACAAAAAAGTTCTAATACTTTATAATCATTTTTTATACCTGTTTTTTCATATAATTCCTTTGGAGAAAAACAAAAAAATCTGTTGGGCCACGTGTCTAAAACGTTCCACTAGTTGTACAGACACTATGTCTAATCCAACATATTCTTTCATTCAAGTGGTAATCTGCTGGAATAAGGACTCCTCCGGAATCCTCCTTTGGTGATTCGGAATATCTCATTAAACCATTTACCGAAGGCAATTTTTAATTTGAAACCGAGGCTAGGTGAGCCACTTTTTAAAATCGTTTATAACCTATCATTTTTATTTCTATCGGACAGCTTGAGGAATTTTTATAATGCATTACATGATTCGTACTTGTAAAAGTAAATTTTAAACCTTTACTATTTTTCAAAAATAAAGATTAATGTTAATCTACATATTTACCACCCAAAAATCATCTTATATAAAAGAAAATATCCAATTTTATGGAATATTAATTTACCCGAACAAAATTGATATTATAAATACTTCAAAATATGTTCTTAATCAAAGTGGTGGCATTGGGGCTATTTTTACGAGGTTAGAACGAGCCTTTTCCCCCATTTTTTTTAAATTTTAACATGGAAAAAAAGGCCATGGAGAGATCAAATAAAAGAAGTAAATAGAAAAAATGTTATTAAAAAATATTGTTTAGTGTGCAAAAAAATTATTACAAGCCTCATAACAATCTAGACTGGTTTCAATGTCGTAAATGTAGTTATTGGTCACATGGAAGATGTCGCAATTTTAATCCTTTTTTTTATTTGCAAAGATTGTGGATAATGTTTTCATTATTTTGTTTATAAATGATTTTATATATTACTTGTAAGCTTTAACATTAAATATGTTCTTATAAAAAAATATATAACTTTTATGTGGAAAATTAAGCAAAGCTTATAATAGCCCCGAGCAAAGTTTCATTCGTCCCCTGGCAGCGTTCACTCGTTCCCAAAAAATTTCAGAAAAAATAAAATTTCGAAAAAAGTATTGGATATGTATTTTTGCAACTTAAACCTACCTTAAAACTAATACAGCTGAACAAAATAAATGAGATATTTTTTGTTAAAAATGTACTTTTTATTTTATTAAGATTTGACTTTTAGGATTCGCCATAACCTCGGTCTCCCCTACCTCCTTCTAAAATAATCACATTTGGGCCATTTCCAAACATAACGTTTTTTTGAAGCGGGTTTTTAGGCATTACCAGTAATTTTATTTTATTAACGATTAAATGACATCTGAAATTCATATCCAGATTTTTAAAAAAAATATTATATTAAATTAATTCAACAATTTTTTTTATTCTGTTTAGTAATTGGGAAAACATTCTGTTTGGAGATGGACTTGTATATATGAATATTTTTTTGGTGGATTAAAATTACCCGTTTCAATAAGAAAGATTATCCATAAAATTTGAAGGGTTATAAAAAAAGCATTCTCTATTAATACATAATTTATAAAAACAAAAATTTAAGAATTATGTTAAAAAAAAAATTAAGGTCTAGTTAAAGCTTCTCTTTATTTCTGATTATTATTAAAAAAATTATGGGAAAAGGTTAATTCTATGTAATAAATGAAAATACATTGTCAAAATAAGTTAAATAAACCAGACTCGTCCATTATATATATATCATCAGGTCACTGGCGTATCCAGGATTTTGCTAAGGGGGGCGGGCATTATTTGGTTAATTTTTTCCCTATAAATTTTGGTTGGGGTAGACCATTGACTATATTAGATTTTTATAAAATTAATTTTGGGGTTTCACTTTCTTTTTGTTAAAATGCTTTTTTTTTAAAAATTTTTAATTATAGTCATTATTATTTAATATTTATTATTTTTACTAATTTTTCTTTCAAATCCTTTCTTCATTTTTTGGGAAAATGGGAAGGGGGGATAAGGGGGGATTTGATTAGCCTAAAATGATTTTTATGAGAACAGTCAAATTTTCAATGGGGTGGGGGGATTTCCCTTTCCTCCCCATTGGTTACGCGCCTGCATCTGGTAAAACTTGTCATTTAAAATTATTATAATTTCCAAAAAAAGTCAATCATCTTTATATTATCTGGTCCTAGTTAAACTCATAACTATTGTACTTCAAAATATAGTTGGATTTATTTTATTATAAATAAATGCTTAATTAAAAAGGCTAATAAGCACCCTGCCAAAACCTGCCCCATTTCTTCATTTAAATAAAAGTTAACTTCAGAATATTAAATTAGCAAAAATAATTTCTATACATGATAAAACTGAGATTAGTTTGTGATTTAGAATTGATATTTAGCCTGAATAAGTTTTATAAAAAAATTTATTAGTAAAAAATGTTAAAATTTTAAAATTACTTTTGGGATGTTAAAATTTAAAAATTCCGTTAAAAATTTTAAGAATCAATATTAGAATATTTTTATCCTTAGCACCTTAATAAAATACATTATTGAGTTCATCACAAGGTATATTAGTTTTAAAATTATTTTATGAAAATACTTGAAATGGGAACACCATCCCCGGTGTCCTTTACTATACTTTTAAAATCACTGGGCTTTTAACATTATTCACGCAAAATATTTAAACACAAGTCTTATATGGATTCATTAGGTAAGTATTATATGTGGTCAGGTTTTGAGTGCCCATAAAAAATTTATAATATTAACAATTAAGATTCGTAAGTAAAAAAATTAAATATGATCTGATTAATTAATTATAATGTTATACTTTTCAATATATAAATTAAGATCTCATCTAGCTGAAAAATATTTAAACATTGATTCAAATTTAATTTATACATTAATGATTGAGCTACACGCTGGTTTTATTTGTTCAGGTAAACCTAATTCTTAACACCTTAACTGGGGTAAGCTGTTATGAATAAAACGGTTAAAATGTTCCCTCTGATTAAAGCTGAAAATAGATAATTTTGAAATACTGACGTCTACGCCATTTAAAAGATATTTTTGAACAAAAAGAAGCATTAATAGTTTGTGCGTTATATCTAATAAAATTTTTAGAACTCTACTAATCATGATTAAATACTATCCTAGATATCATGAATGTTTATAAAATTTTCTCAATTTCTAAAAGTGGATTTAAACTTTTCTATAAAAATTAAATTGTATATTAATATTTTATAAGTTTAATAAATATATATTAATCTTGTTTTCAAAAAAAATTTCCAAAATTGCAGATTTGTTAAAGTATCTAGGTATAAAATGTGGTATCTGTATCGAAATACACCTTTATAAAAGTGTATGTATATATATTTTCAGAGATATCTCTATCTATTTTAAATACATTTTAATATAAAATATTTTACGTTTTTTTATATTAAAAAAATATAAATATTCGAATTAGAGATCTGCAAATCACGGTCCGACTAGTACCCGGTTTAAACTATTTTTGGACCTGACCGAATCTTTTTTATAATTTCGGTTCGGGCTGAGTCGGGTTTAATATTTTTTTTAAAAATCCGTGCCGGGTCGGGTGGGTCTAATTTTTTAATAAGATATCATTAAATTTTGTGAGACAAATTGATATATTTTAATATTCTTGCAAGAAACAGGGAGCTAATATTTTTATTTGTAGAATATTTTTTTACAATCAAAAAAACTATATTTAAATAAATTCGGGCGACAGGAAAATAATCTTTATTTTTATTTCGGGTAGGGCTTTTCGGGAAAAATAAAAAAAAAAAATCGAGTTGGGTCGAATTTGACTTTTGGTTTTTAGTAATGATATACGAAAGGGTACTTGGTTTTATTAGGACTTAAGTGATTGGGAAATTTTTAAAGCATTTAAAAATGCATCTGAACCAAAATTATTTTGAATGCTTTATAGTTTAATTTTTTTTCAATTGACTCAAACATTCGTTCTATTGTGTTCTGCCCCCCCCTTCCCAAATTTTTATCTTCCCCAACCCCCCCCCTTCCCAAAAGGGCCAGAGTTAGAATCTGACCTGGACTATTTTAAAACTCATTCTTATTTCAAACTTGACATCAGTCTAAAAGATTCAGTGGTCTTGTATGCTCTTATTACTTCGACCTACTATAAGAATCTATTTATTTTATCTTAGGAATAGTGACACATTTTTTAAAAAAACTATTTTACCCTTCATATATAAAATAAAAGCTCTATCAAGCAAGTAATATTATTGATATCATTAAATTTTATTAGTTTGTTTGGACAGACAGTAAATATAAGTCATTTAAAGTTGACGATAGAAAATATAAATAGATAAATCATTCTCGTATTAATAATTAAATTAAATTATTTACTTTACAATATACATGATAAAAATTTGTTTGTTGTTTTTTTTTATTATATTGTAAGTTTTATCTATTTATTTAGGAAATGATTGACACGTGTATTTTATAAAAGTAATTGATATACAATGTTTATTTATAAAGTTTATTTTTTAAATTTATAATTGGCCACAAGCTAAATTTTTCAATATCTACTGTGCATTTTTACAACTTCAAGAATAAGAAACAAGATATAAATATAATAAATTTTAAATATATATTACAAGTATTATGTCTCAATTATCATATCGATATAATGTAATAAAAATAAGCCATCTTTATCAAAAATATGTAATGAATTTCCAATTTTTCTTAAATGTTAAGAAAAAACTATTTCACTCTAGAACAATTGATGAGTTTTTATATAATTCTCGATTATATTTTGCAATAGCTTGAAAATTTTTTCTCCCATAAAATGTATATTTTTTTAACATGAAATTAATTTTACAAAACTGAATTTAACATTACGTACTATTGAACAAAATAACCCATTTTGTAAATATTAATTACATAATATTACAATTTGAAATTATATTAATTTATATACAAAAAATTATTTTAAAAAATAATAACTTGATTTTCTTTAAAATATTATTTGGCCATTTAAAATTTTCCCAAATAGAATTATATAAGGATGATTTTTGTTTATAAAAAAAGACAGGATATATTAATTACTCAGTCATTATACAATAATTTAATGTAATGTTTAATGTATAAAGAAATAAGGTAAATCCTTTATAGTAATTTATAATATACATAAATCAATATTTATTTATTTGATTTATATACAATGTTTTACAAGAATGATGTATGATAGAGATATGAGATGATTGATGAATTAAATGTGGTAATTAAAGGGTTTATTTTATAATAATCATTAATAGAATCATTTTAAAAAAAAATATTATACAAAAAGAAACCTAAAAGAAAAAATATACAATATAAATTAAGTGTAATAACGGAAAAAAAAATATAATAATTAATAATCACATATTCTTTACTTGATATAAATCCGAATTAATAAAAATATATAATATAAATCGTATTTAAAATGTTAGTTTTTTATAATTATAATATTTTGTGTGATAAAACATTTTATTACAAATTATTTTAAATGAGCTTAACTCTTAGAAACAATGAATAAAAACTTGCAAATTAAATAAATATTAATTAAACAAAAATGCACCATAACGTAATAATTAATATACATTGGATAATAATAATTTAAATAATAATACTTATTAATATAATTCTAATGTCGATTGTGTGTTCTAATGGTCAAGAGTTATCATTTGAAACTTCAACACTGAATAGTAAAATAAAAGAACAAACTCGACATTTGGATGAGCAGAATGAAACATATGTCAAGGGATCCCCGAATACATCTAAGTCACTCCACATGAATTCTTTTTATGGATTATCAGACGTTCCTTCATATTACTGGCCTTTGATTCCTCCTGCACATCGATGGCCAAGTAAGGAACTACCAAGTGTCTCTAAAAACCAAGACATTTTTAAACATAACATATATTATCCATTGTCTTATCATCATCATTCGGGGGACATGCCACATTTTCCAATTCAGTATCTATCCAATCACGTACAACCAACCACCAGTTACAATTCATTTCACAATAATCCACCTTTTAAAAATAAAAATTCGCTTCCTTATAATATCACTGATGTAAAAATGCCTATACTTAATAAAAATAAGCACAGACATCATCCAGAATCACCTACATTCCAAATCGTAAAAAAGGTAAATTTTTATTAAACTACAAATATTAGTATAATTTATATGTCGTAACGGGATATAGAACATGGGGATTCGGGATCATATTTCAATTCATTTGGTCATTTTTAAATTTGGAAAATCGGATTTGACATGATGCATATTAGCATGCCTAAAAGAGTCATACTGAATTTCAGACAATTATGTCGTGAACATTTAAACTATACTTAATTTGTATTTTATCCAAAAGTTTACAGCAAAATTATATGAAATTCACCGCATGTTGCTCTATACATGCTGGAATACACTTTCATATTAAATCAGGTTTTCAAATTTATAGCCTTCTGCAAATATGAGATATTCGAAATCCATATTATACCATACTTACTAATTTCGTTTCCCCAATGGGTTTGATTCCCGATGCCAACCTATTACAAATATGAATATTTTTAAATTTTAATTGATTTTATAGTTGTGAAATATTTTATCAATAAACTAGATTGAAATATAATTCATAATACACTGATGGGGGTGGGGATAGTGTAGGGAAATAATTTTTATTGACTTAATCTAATATGTACAAATATTTGCCAAAGAGGGAATAATTTCCTCACACTTCCTCCTTCCTTTGGAAACGCCCATGGTGAGCATTCTATGCACGCTGTAATTAATATCACCCTTGAAGATTACTTAAAATAGAGATTTAGAATCCGTACTAGGATTACGGAGAAGTCGTTATTACAAAATAAAGACTAAGTTACATATAATACATAACGAGAGATGTTATATTCATAAAATTGATATTTATTTTCTATAATTTGCGATGAATGTTTAAGGGATTGTATAATAAAACTAAGCATCATTTCGCAAGCTCGGTTATTATATCTTCTCTTACAATTTATAGTGATTGCTTTTTAAAATTTATATTTTGTTATATTTAATCACTGACTCGCTTTCATTTTTCATCACTTCAAAAACCTGCAGGCCCGGCCCTAAGCTCTGCCCGGGTACACGGGCCGGGCTGCATTTTAATTTTTTAAATACCCGGGCCGGGGTATATTTTGAAACCAAATATTGTAATCGCCATTGTTAGCTATAAAAATAAAAATGAATAAAATGTATTATCCGAGCCGGGCCTGAAAATATAAAACCCGGGCCTTACCGGGCCGTGCAAATGGTACCTCTGCAGATCTCTTAAATCTAAAATATTTTATACAAAGCTAGAAAAGATTCTTCGATTTTTAAAAATTGGAGATCTAAATCTTATCAATATTAACGATTTATTATAAGTTCTTCTTCCTTTTTTTTATTCCGAGCTATGTAATTTATTAATTTTTATGTTTATAATAAAGTTAGAGCATTACCACATAAATTGGTATGACGATGAAATAATGTTATAATTGGATTTTATTCTATGTTGAATTTATTTTTCTAACCTATAATATATATAAGCCATTATAAAAATTTTAAAGTAAAACATTACATATAATTTTTTTACAATGAAATAGATACCTCTATATTATACTGTAAAAAAATACTTCTATAAACTATCTTGGAGGCCTGGGGGCAGATTATGTTATTGGATTGAAGTTTGCCATACTATATTAAATTATCTAAACTATATAAAATGGTATTGCTATTCAATTTATCTAATAACGTTTGAAAATCTTTCTAAATACCCAATAGTTATTTTAAAAAAATAATTCAATAAAAAAATGTCGAATTATATCTTTTCCAGAATTGCAAAACCTCGGGAAAAATTCTAACTCGCGAAAATTATATGGATGTTGAAGTTAGCATAATGTATAAAGAATTTAAATTTATTAGTCCTTCTATAATAAAAGACGATAAAGAAATCGATATTTTGCGACATATTTGTTCATAAAGACTGGTATCCTATCTATATTTAAATATATTGCACTAAAAATGGATAGTGTTTACAATATCAAATATAGTATATTAACTGCCGCATAGTTTTTCATCTTAAGTTAACAAAATCTATCTTTATTCAGCAATGACACAAGAGAGATTGATTTACTTAAATTATTAGTATTAAAAAAAATAGTGTGATTATGCAAATGAAATTGCTTAAAAAAAATTAAATTTTGTTAAGATCAATTGATTTAAGAAATACAATTTTACTTTAAAATATAAATAACAAATTAGGGTTCAAATTAAAGAGAATATTAAATTATTCCTATAAAATAATTTTATGAGATGTGCCATAAAGTGTTACTTCTAATGATAAATAATGTAGAATTGGCACTGCCATTGAGCACATCATGGAACTTGCAATTTTAATGTGGCTTATCTTTTAAATTTTTAGAAATGATTTATATAGGGCTCAAACAAATGGAATATATCCTCCTAGGTACTGCTCAAAGGATCTCTAATATTTTTTAAGAATATTTAATATCTGAAGGTTAACAACTTTATTGCTAATTTTCCAATAATTAAATCACAATGTTCACTCGATTATTTTTTAAATTTTATTCTTATTTTCCATATATAAAACATAGCAAATGTTGATGTTATGTACCATTATTCAAAAAATATATAATATCCATTTAAAAATATTCATATTTTTATTTTTATATGAAAAAATTGAATATGAAAGAAACCGCGAATCAAATAATAATCAAACAAAACGAAAAAGTTCAAGCCTTTTGTTTATGCGTGTTAATTTGAACATTTTTTTAAAAAAAATTACAAAAAGAATTTATTGGAGGGCTCGTTCACTTCTTACTCCAACAAAAAATATGATTTCACATTTCCAATTCTTTAATAAAATATAAAATACAAACAATCATATGAGCATAAATAACACAATACAGAAAATAACTATATACATTATAAGATATAAAGATAGGCACATCACACCGCAAAATAATCTCGTTTCTTTTCATCTTCTTTTACATATTAAACAATATTCGGCTTTTTTTTGTATATATTATTTGTTAAAATTTGTTTTTTTTGCATGTATTCGGAATTAAATTTAGATTTTTTTTTATATCTTAAACATTTCATGTATATTGAATGAATATTCGAGTAAGCATATTAATTTTATTTTCTTTATGATTATTATTTTTTGTATATAATTTCTGTATATTATAAGTTTATCTTTTAATTATTAAAAATTTTTTGTGTCTTGGATCATATACTTCCACTAAACCAAAAGTAAGCAGAGTTAATAATGGGTAACTGTAGTGACTTTCTTCTATATTAGAAAGTGTTGCTAAACGAAATCGCGCCACTTGAGATAATTTCGAGCCTACTCCAAAACAACCTAGCCGATATTTTATCCGAAAAACATTGGCTAGGATCTCGAGGCTTAAGCTGAAAAACCAACCTTGAGGATGAAAAACAGCTTGTGTTGGTTTGGAGGATGAGTCGAATTAGCAACATTATTTATAGATTAAATGAGGGGGGGGGATAATATATAGTATGCGGAAAATTTGTTATATACTTAACCTTTGACGTAATATGCAGTCATTCCTTGCTTGAACAAGATTGAATGAATGCATGAAGCAATGAAGCAGAAAAAGAATGTTAAGCATAATTATAAATCCTTGAAATAAAATTTGTTTAGTTATATTTTCCATGTAAAAACAGATGATATAATTTTTACATGACGAGGAAAAAACCTTACTTTCCTTTGTATTTTTTCAAATTAATTAATTAGTCTCTCTTTCTTTCTCTCTCCTAAAAGCATTTTATGTATAAAGAGCATAAAATGACATTTTTTTTGAAAAAATATTCAGTTCTCTGCCAAATTTTGTTTTTTCAATTAATTTAATTTTTTTAAATATAAATGTAACAATCGGACTGTATACAATACAATATACAGAAACAGAATAGGGTATAATAGATAAGCAAGATGAGAGGATATTTATTTAATTGAGAGTGAGACTATATATTTTAGTTCATTTTTTTAACACCGAAAAACATAATTTTATTTTTAAATATTAAAAAAAATGTTTTTTGGCTTTTCAAAAAAAAATATGCTTTGATCTTATATTAATAAACATAATTTGCCGCCATTATAAATATTATATTTTAAGAAAATATATGAACTGCTTTATAATTATTCGTAATAAAACAAAATTAATAACAAAAAAAGATTTCGATTATTAATACATATGAATAAGTGTAATAATAAATTTGTTTTTAAACAAATTAATGGTTAGGCCAAAATTTGTTTATCTTTATACATAAGTAAAAAAAAATAGTTATTGTTATATAAAAAAGCTTAACTTGGGAAAAGCGACTTGTTTGATCCAAATATCTATAATATATTAAACCAAAGGTGGAATAAAGCATAGTATATAATATTTAGCTAGGAAGATATAATAAAGAGATAATTTATTTTTTAAATGTTATTATTATGCATAAAATTAACAATTATATTTTATAAAATGATTACTTATTCCTAGAATATCAAGCTTGATAGTTCGGATTACATAGAGAAATTGGAAGAAAGTTATAATTTTAATGACCCCGCTGAAGAAAATTCAACTAATACATTTTTAGGGTAAATATATGCTTTAATAAGACAATATAATTACATAGTCTGCTTTTTTCCCCATAAATTAGGATGATTATGCCAATGATGCATCAGAGGGACCGAGAATTCTCTAGAAATGACTCTCTCAAACCGAAACTCGAAGCTAAAAATGCCGATAATTTGGAATACGAAGAAGGCGAGGACAAAGAGGGAGCTACGGCCGCTCAAGTGCAACCTAGAAGGAAAAATGCAACTCGAGAAACGACTAGCGCGCTGAAAGCCTGGTTAATCGACCACCGTAAAAATCCTTATCCTACCAAAGGTGAAAAAATAATGCTGGCCATTATCACCAAAATGACCCTGACTCAAGTATCCACTTGGTTCGCCAACGCCAGGCGCAGGCTGAAGAAGGAAAGTAAGGCTGTCCTAGTTTTTTGCGATAATGGCAAAATTATAAATGATTCTACCCCAAATTCTGGAAATTCTTCTCCATTCAAATCGCTTCTCGATGAGAATGAAGGCGAACTTGACCAAGATGACGCCTCTTCTGACCAAAATAGGGAGGAGGATAATTATAATCAGGAAGATATCTGGCAACAATATAAAGATCTAGCTCTCAAATATTCTAACAGTTTTCAAAGTATTACCACAACCACTATCACGCAAAAGTATGACTCTTCTAACACAAAAACTGATAATCAGTCTTCCCCAATCACAGTGCATTGTGATATCTCCTCCGATATCAATCGTCGGCAAATTTTTGATGAAAAAGTTTCAAAAAATATTGATAAATGGAACCCTAAAATAATTAATGAATCTCAATTTTTAAGAGATACTTCAATGTTGCAAAGACCATTCTTTCCTATGAGACATTTAATGCCTCCAACATCACTTAGCTATTGCTATTATCCGCCTTTCTATCCACCATATTATTTTCCGTGCTATGACGGCTTTGCTTTACCTCTCAATGCTAAAGATTCCTTTACTCAAGCTACGATCTTGGATAAATCCAATGTAGACCTAACATCGTCATTTCCGCATATCCTGCACAAACACCACAGTTTTTATAAAGAACAAACTAAATACACATCTAAGGAAAATGACACACACAGTCTAAATGATTATAAAAATAATATGAATGAACAAATTATTAAACCAAACGCAAGCTTTGGTGAGTTAACCTTCCAAAATGAAATTAACGATAAAGATACCATTTCCAAAAATATAACAACATATGCGAATTCCAGTAATAAGAGAACACCCAAAAGAAGTTTTGACGACCACAATAGCAATAGTGAAAATTGCACTAAGAAACTTAAAGGTGACACCAACCTACCACACAAAATAATGCCCTTATTCCAGAATTCTGGTAAATATGTATATAATTTATTGTGCATATAAGTATATTGAGAATATATGAAATAAAAACATAATAAAATTTAACACTAAGAACGGGGGAAAAACAACGGAGAAAAGATTTTTATAAAAATGTAAATATCATTTTAAAGAAATTTAAATAATTTTTATTTAATAAAACAATTTAACAAAATGAGCAAATTATTTAATGAATGCGTTGATAAAAAATGTGATAAAATATTGGTAGATTTATTTAGATGATTGTATATAATCAAAAATCATAAATTAAATGTTGACAAATTATATTTTTTTCCCATGAGAACATGTCTCATTAAGAAATGAAATCCATGGGAATTCGGAATCTCTCAATTTTATATTAATCACTTAAGACGCTTATTAAATCTGATTATACCGGAAATGTATTACTACAGGTGTAGAATACTTACCCTATATTCCAGATAATTTCCGACATAAACTTTTGTACAATTTTTTATATATATGAATAATCTATATAAAAACGGATATAAATTAACAGTATTTCAACAGTTTGGGGACAAATTATCTGTAATTCGCAGAGTGAGTACTCTATAAAAGTTATAATACATTTCCGGCCAAATCAGATTTTTCAGATTTAAAAATCGCTTGCAGTAAATGACTTAAGAAAGAAAGAAAGAATTTCATTCTATTGAGAGATTCAGAATCCCAAAGAATTATATATCCCAATATGACATATATATATAATATCATATATCGTCCCTTGATTATTGGAGAGTTCTACCTACATTTTTACTATAAATGAGAAATTATAAATTTGTAGATTTAAATCATTTTGCAGTAACAGAATTGACAGAAACGAAAAATATGAGGTTTGTTATTATAAGAAATTCTTAATAAATGGGAAAAATTAAAAAAAGAAAGAAATGCAAACAAAGCATAACAAGCCAAGTGCAAACCAAAAATATGAGTGTTCTTATTTGCATGTTTTTTTAAATTTTGATAATTTTTTATATAAAAACACTAACAACTTTATTATATTAGGGGAGCGTGTATCCAATCCAGTTTATTTCAAATAAATAAATCTAAGGTTTGAAATATGATTCTTTCTAATAGATAATTATGGATTATACCTTTCGACAAAAATATTTGGCTTATGTGTCAACTCATTAAAATTTTATATTGAAAATTATGTTTTTATCGCTTAAAATGCAAAAAATTTATGTTCGATTGAGTTTAATCTGGAGTTTTACTAATAAGATTCATTAAGTAATAAATAATATATAAAATGAAGCTTAAACCATTCTCTATAACCTGTGAAGTGAAAGTTTTATATCATAATAATGTTAACAAATTGAGCTTTTGTGTTTTGCCACACTTTTTTTAATAAAAGAAACGTAACGCATCTCTTGTTTTTGAAGCTGCCTTTTTATCATCGTCGATTCAAAATTTTAACAGTTCTACAAAAGAATTCGATTTTGTAAATAAATTATATTATCGTCTGCCTTTTTATTATTTCTAAATATTCCATAAAGATAAATAATTTAATTTTATATAATATTTCTAAATAAAGAATAAAAAAGTAGAAAAATGAAACCAATTTGGGTTTTTCGAAATAAATGCAAATGTAAAGTAAAGCGTTAGCTTGAACAATTTGCATGATACCATCTAAAATGCATTATTTACGTTTGAAACGGTCAGTTTGAGCGTAATATAAGAGAATCTATAAATAAAGGTTTTAGTATCAATAGAACCTATTATAAATTTGAAAGCATAAATTCTTCGCTAGACAAAAAAAAAGTTAGAACGTGATTTTGTGTTACAAAAAACATTATTTTTTAATATTTTTTATTGATTAATCAATCGAATAAATGAACATAGGCAGGGTAACATGATTTAACTATATAAATTTGAAGAAATTTGTGGATAAAATAATATAATAGATGAGATGTTAGAGGGCGGCAAGCCAACCCCTATGGCCTCATATATTCGGTCTCCTATAAAAAAAATTTGTTATTCTAAAATTAATAATATAAAAAATTTCGCAGGATGGCTTATTGATAAAATATTTATTGTAATTTCTGATTTGTTCAAATTGTATTTGTAAGACCCAGTGGTATGGGTAAAAGGTTAAGTAATTCATCTTGGTATCGATGCATATCTAACCATACTATCATAAGACTCTATAATATTTATATTAATAATTCATTTATCCTTAATATAAATATTATTATCATTTCATTTATACATATCTAGAAAATTCGAAATCAGATTCTTCAATTGAACTTAATAATTCGTTCCTGGATAATTCGAAGGGAGAAAAAAATTTCAAAAACGAAAACATCAACATTTTAAGCACGAAAAAAAATAAAATTTGGTCAATGGCTGAAATAATTGAATCCGATGATAAATCCTAATAAAATAAAAATGGTGCCACCTTTCGATTTGTATAAACATATCATATAATAACTATAATATTTATATATGTTTCATAAATGATAAATTATTATAACATTCCTGTCTATAAATTTATCTGGCTTAGTATATATATATACACACAATAATATTATAAATTCAAGTATGATATCACCTATCCTACTTTGTATAGAAATTTTTTTAAGACTGAGATTTCTAATGTATTAAAATGTGATAACATTTTCTATAGCCTTATTTATTTGTTTTAATAATCATGCGCAGTAATTATATTATAATCTTCGCCTAAATCAATTCTCAAGGGATTATCGAAATTAAAATAATAACCTATGTACAACATTGTAAGATTTGGAGCATCCTGATTTATGTATAGTTTTCATATAAATTAAAAATAAAGCTTATGGCCAAATTGTTTGGAATTCATAGACTATATCAAGAGTGCTCATATACTTTCTTTCTAAGAGGGAACATATATTTTTTACATTTTTACTAGAGCATATATAAAAAAGAGATTGCTGATATTATTTTATTGTGCTTTGTTAATTATTACAAGTTAAGCCGTTTAGCCGAAAGTCTTAGTTATTTTTATTTTGACATAAATCAAACAAAATCTATGCTTCTTCTATTAAGTTATAGTCATTTGGAATCTAAAATTATTATTAATACTAAATTTTTATAATCATAATTTTAATCTGTTAATTAGATTTAGAAAGAAATGATTTAACTTTTTGAAGAGAGGGATATGCCGTTTTGCCGAGTAGTATGAGTGCCTATGGTATAGACACCAGAGGTTTTAATGGGTGGTTTTTAACCTGCACACATTTTGGGCGAGTATGGGCTCGTAGTTTAAAGGTTTTAAACATTGGCTTGTGATGAAAAATATTTATAAACAATGATCAAGCAAACGGGGGGATGGGAGTAAATCTGAAATATTTGGGCGAAATGAACATAAAGAGCTTATATTTTTTTTAAAGTTAGTTTTTTATTTCATAATATTTCATATTCTAGAGGTTTAACTAAAATTATATTAAAATCAAATGAATAAAGAGCCAAACCAACCAATCAAATAATTTTTAAACAATCTGGACAGGCGGGATTCGTGTTTAAAAACTCTCCATTGCATAACTCTAATATACACTCTTACACACATGCTATAATAAATATGGCAAAATCAATTTTTTATTTTTAAATTCCTGGTAGATTATTTAAAATTGGGAGATTCTGAATCCTCACTATGTTGTTATTCCCACATATTATACTATAATTAATTTTTTTTAAAAATTATTATTTCTTTTATTAAAGATAATTAATATTTTATAAGTTCAAAATATTAAAGTATAAGGAAGGTATTTATTTTCAATTTTCTTCGATTGGTCGCTCTTTTAAGCCTTTATATGCCCATAATAAAATTTGATCATAAATTTTTTAAAATCATTTTGACGAAATTGAAATATAGAAAGAAAGAAAAAAAGAAAAAACATTGATTAGTTTTTTTTCCTATTGTAAAAAAAGGATTACTTTTACATTATATTTGTTGGTATAAATTTGATCCTATTTTACATATTTTAAAAATGCCACATGATTATCAAATTAGTTTTAATTGTCGTTCTATAAATCATACGTACGCTCATTTCCGATTTATAATAATTGATGAGTTTATCGATATATAATTCTTAAAAAAAAATATGGTTTAAATTAATGGCAATAAATGTATCTAACTTAGCAAACCCTAATTTTTTATTTATTTATATGTTAAATAAAATGAAGCGTTTTATAATCATATGCATGATCACGATGTTGTATGATGTCTTGATTTGCCTTGTATTTTATTTTCTTTTATATATAAAATGATATATTAAGCGATCTACTATAAACGATAGATACATTGACTGACTCTTTTATGCGAATCTGATTGTCACCTTTTATAACTGGAAATGTGGCATGAAGATAATATATAATCTACCATTCTAAAGGATAAACATGATTTATTCAATATACAATTATAATTTAGGAAATAAATAATATTTTTTAAGCATCATTTTGGTTATTTGTACAATGAACGTGATACACATGCTATGCAAATTCACCAAGATATAAGTATATTAATAGAGACCAATATTTGTCGATAAAACATTAACCCATGATATAATTATAAATTATGTACTTTAATATAAAAAGCAGCAATTAATTATTATATTTTGAAACGTATATTTTTAAAAATTTGAAAATTGTATTTTATAAAGCAAATTAATTAAACAAATTATTTCTTAGCGCCAATCCTTAATAAGAACGAAATGGCTTAAATATTTGAACAAAGGCGGATGGGCAAAAATATTTTAGTTAAAGGGTTGGGGCATGTGATTTAAGGTATTTTATGGACCAATTTTCATCTTCTGCTAAAATGATAAATTTTTAAATAGTTGCCATGATTTAAGAAAATAGAAAACGAAATGACTAAACCACACAACGAAGAGATTTGAAAATAAAAAAATCATATTCCTTCTTTCAATTGGTTTCTTTGTTTTCCGTTAGCAAGCATAACAAGGTATTCCATTTTAAACATTTAATACCTTTTTTATTAAAAAAATTTATTTATATTTTTTAAAAAAGAGTAAAAAATGCTTTATTTCTAAAGTAATGAAAAACAAAATTAACGTTACACAAGCAAATATAACGGTTACAGAAGCTCTTCGTTACTAAAATGCAAAAATTACAAGAGCGTTATCTTAATATAACGCTTACAATAGCATAACACAATTTAACTTGTTGGGACTAGTGTTGTTAAAAAGCCCGATTCGGGTCGATTTTTGAAATCGGCCGGATAAAGATCATAACCAAAATAATATTATGCAAGCCTGAAAATTTAACTCATATAGGGGAAATGTGTTATAAATGGCCATGTGTGAAGACTGGCCACCACCCTTTAGTCTTTTATCTATTGGACCAATTTCACTCAAAACTGATCAAAATGTGTATATTTATGAGATGTACCATATCTAAGTTCATTTATTGAATAGAGCAATTCAATAAAAAAATATTTTAAATAAACTGTTTTTAGAACCTCTTTCTGGAAAAATCACCTACACATTTTTTAGTTTGGTTAAAAAATTACTAATTTAGATTACTAATATTTTATATAAATAATATCCTTATGCATTTAGCATTATTCACACAAAAAATTAGACTAAAAGCTTTATTTAATAGATATATAAAGGCGCTTAATAATAATAAAGAGGTGAGTATTGTTTGACCATGTATTGATTGGCCACAATTCGCACATTCACATATTCATATTAAAATGAAAATGAAAAGCTCGTCGAAAACAACATTTGCTGAAATTTCAAATGATACAAGCTTTAGAATGCTTAGCAAAAAGAAAATTAAGATATTAATTTATAATATTATCATTAAATAGATGGTGATAAATTGAAATTTTAATACTAATTAAATTAGTGTATAATTAAATTTTTATATAACTAAAAATTGTAGAAATATTATCATAGGTCTTTTACAACTATTTCATATTGATTATTTCATATTTATAATAAAATTCTTAAATAATATATTATGGCCAGCTAACACCAAGGATGTGAACCCGAATCCTGACCTTGAACCCTTGTATTTTGGCTGAACCCGGACCTTTTTTAAAAGTGGAGGGTCCAAGGGTTCTAGGTATAAAATATTTTTAAAAATAAAAATATTTTTTTTAAAAATAATATAAATTTTATTAACTTTTTTTGTGGAATCATTTATTTTTTCTTCGCGTTATTCTTACAATTTTCTCCCTGGACTTCCATTATAAATAGAGATTGATATCATAAATTATTTTCCAGTGTAATAATATTTTATTATGTAAATTTTAGTGTTGTTAAAGTTACTTTTGAAACATAACTAGTTACTACTAGTTACATCGTTAAAAATATAATTAGATACAGTTACTAGTTACATTTTTATAAATGTAAATAGTTATTAGTTACAGTTATATTATAAGTTACTTTCTGGTTCTTATAAATTTTAAAATGTTCTATTAATTCTAAAAATGGGTTTCAGGTTATGTATTAAGAATTATTAATTATTTCACTCTAATATTTACAAATATGATATTTATATATACAGTTGTTCCAAATATTTATTTTAAACTTATTGCAAATATATATTTTTTAATGTTAATTCAAATAGAACTGTATAATATTGGAATATTTTTAGTCAAGAAATTGTGATAATAAGAATAATAAGGGAAGGGTATTAGATAATTTATTTTTTATTTAATTATATATGCATGCAACATCAACTTGAGGGCAAAAAATATCGAAAATATTGTGCTAAATTTGTAAGGAAATATAATATTAAAAAATAGGTTTATTACTTGAATTTGGTTGCAAAATTATAAAATCCAGCAATGTAACAATTTAAGAAAAGAAAATTTATTTGGGCATATCCTTTGCGAACACAATCTGACATTTAAACAAAATTTTTAATTTAATTTAAAATCAATTTAGCACAAAGCTAGTCCCTTGGAACCAAGGTTTACCACAAGCTTGGGATTAAACATGTGTAGATCGTTTTGCCAGATCTTTCAATGTTAACTCCATCACTAAAGCTGAAAATACTAAAAATAAATATAGCCACCTTAATAATCTTTTGTTTGTTCGGGTAGTCTCAGGCACCTGTGGATCATTTGGACCCCAAGCCCTAAAATTATTCAAAATAATAGGGCAAAGGTTACGTTTAATCACAAGTGATTCAAAAGAAGGCTTCTACCTACGACAAAGAATATCAATAAATTTGTTGATCCAACTGTATATCTATACATGGGTAATTAAGCCCCGCCGACCAAACTTAAAATATATTATTTTATTTTTTTTATTTCTCTTCTTTTAATTATATATTTTTATAAAGTTATAGTATATTAATTATAATTTAATATTCTTTTAATAAATGATCAATTCACATATTAAAAATAAAATTAATTTTTTGAATAAATTATTTAAATATATACATACATATTTTTAGAAGTAACCAGTTACTTTTGGCAGTTACATTTCAAAAAATATAACTAGTTACAGTTACTAGTTACAATTTTTAAAATATAACTAGTTACAG